AAAGCCACCACATGCCCTAGGCAACAGTATACAACATAATCAAGGGGATTTACATCTTGAAGCGAGACCATAAGGAATGAGTTCATCAAGATAAGGCTTCCAGTCATATCTCCCATTCAACTATTACATACCTCAATCAGCTAGAGAATTAAATGGATATTCATGCTCTTCGATATGAAGACATACTGATTGAGTTGAGAGGTGCGATTACTTGGATTTCTACATGATTGGACTATTAAAACAGGTTCGGGAAACCATCAACCTCATACAACAGATGAACTGTGGAAAAAGGAGGAAGGAATTGTGTGTTTAGGACATGAAAGCCTTATCACAGAACCATTTTAATGAAAATTACCCTGCAGGGCTATTGGCAAGACATATGGTCGTGAGTATGATTGGACATGGCAAAGTGGGCTATAAAATGTAGTGATGCTCAAATATTGTTATAATATTGTACTCAACATCATACAGCAATCATTTTCAGTTATTCCAACATTTAACATCATCATCTGTCCTAGGTATATTATAAAAAAGTGACTACCATGTGATGTAGCACATATAGCCTACCATGAAAGCTCACTTGATAGATCAGAAGGTGAGATCACAATGCCTTTTCAGCTTACAATTTATTTTCTAATTCTTAGAAGTCATTTCCAATCGTGCCAACTGTCGATGCTCTAAGCATTATATCAACTAACATCTATGGTTCTAGCTGTATAATAATTGAGCAGCTATGACTCAATGTCCTGTAGACATCTCATAGTGAAGCATTGTTCAATAAATCATAAAGCAAGGAACATCACTTCTTATTTTTATGGTTATTAATTTATCAATCAACCATCCTAACTACTGATCTGGCAGCTAACTCCAGTTGTAATTACTAGGATGTTAATGTTTTCATCTTAGCTAATTATCAGAATTGTCATGCCGTTACTCCATTGGTATTTCTTCATCTGAGTCTTTATTGAGGACCATATAAGTATTTCCAGCAGTTTTATCTCTAAGGCTGAGTTGACATCACACAATACAGATGCTCTCATAATCATTGACTCCTCAATCTCTTCCACCTCTGATCCCTTATCTTACTAGTGCATGAGAGTCTCAGCAACAGCGTGAGTTTCAATTTGTCAACATATTCAATGTACTTATATATATATCATATGATCACTGTAGTTTGAACTATCTGAGGATAAGATGAGGACTGGTCTAATCAGAGCTGAGGTGTTTATGTTACCGGCACATAACAAAGCTGCACCCAGTTTGCATACTTTCTTTCTTTCAGTGCCTTATCATAACATCTATTCTACCTTATGGTGGACTTGTCAATCAAGTAATGCATGCCTCAACCATTTTGCATATGTCTATGAGCACTGTGGTACACCTACAGTAGAGGGAAGCTCTTGCGTAATGTCCACAGGAAACTATACTTCTCGACCAACATGAGCTAGGAAGATTCGTGGATAGACAGTTGATTACTGCTTCATTGGATGATACTTATGATGATGTATGGTCGATAACTGTCCCAGTTGATTTAGTCAGGATTAACAAATTTCACAAGCATCCACTGTATTATCCATTCTGTCAATCCATCAAACTGACGTAATATCGTGAAGTGAATGTCTTCACGACATCCAACATTTTATACGTCGTGGCAAATGACTGGCTTTTAAAATTAGCTCGTTTATCCATGTGGATGTTTTAGGTGCTTTAAGTCACACTATTCATTGTTCAACCGATGCAACAACAAAATATTGTGCTAATGTATCAACCAAAAGGTGGGTTAATGTATTAACTAAAACGTAAACTTCCAGTTTGTGAAGTAATTAATAAGAACAAGAATATGGTGATTACCTCAATCAGTCTCTAAGAGTGGGCAAGCAACATTCATGGCTATTCTCTGAAGCAGAAAAGCAGGAAACCTCTGCCAGAGGTTACCCTATTTTGTCTAATATTACTTGTGGGAAATACATAGTGTTGGTATCATCATTCATTGTCTAGATGTGAATATGGCTAGAAAACTGTTTTTACATATTAGCACATGTACAAGAAGAAAAAAAAAGACATGCTATGACTTAAGAACAATAGCTGTACAAATAGTTCCAGTTACTTATACTTTACTCACATGCCAGTGACTATTTTAGCAGGAAGTTGAATAGCTAAATGTTCTTATTCCAGACCTGCACCGAGACTGTGTCATCACTTGGACTGATAACCAAGTGAAACCTGCTTTCTCAACATCAAACAATGTTTCATTCATCAGTTACATCATTACAGCATATAGTGATAATGCATAGACTGAGTCTGTAATATAACATGGAAATCTACTTATGCATTCAGGCTACTGTGAACCTCTCCTCAACACATGACCAGCATTAGATAGTTTTCCATGTAGAGGCAAAATTGACTGATAGTTTCTACAATAGGTACATCCCCAAGTTCCCAATACCCGAACCAAGATCAGATACAACTACATTCACTTTGTGGGTGACATCACTAAGACCTAGTCAGAGATATGCCTCTCTGTTTGTACTTAGCTCATCATCATTTGCCAGAACAAAGTTTTTAGTTATTGATGAAACTGGTATGTTCACTCAAAGTACCTGATATACTACATGGTGGTTCCTGTTTGAACCAGGAACTTGACCTCACCTCTATGTATCTTTATTGACATATAAAAGCACTACCCAGTATTGCTTGAACTGGGCTGGCTCCAAACCTTTGGACACTAGTAGACTACTCCTATGTTGGTGGATAAACCTAGAATCCATTACTTTCTGGAGTCAGCTTGCTGGCAGCCATTGATTGCCTTCGACTCTCCTACATCATGGGTAGTTCTGTGAAGCCTTGTGCACCCACTTACATCAGGTAAGTTATGTTGAGATATTAGGATATTTTTCTATCTGGGTAGCCTCTAGAAGAAATAAGAATTTTGTGTGATATAGACATCTTTGGAACGTAGCGTGTTTGAAGTATGACCCTACCATTTAATGCTGCAGTTTCCCCATCCTGTGACCTGTTAGAACTTACAACTTCAAATGTGGTTATCACGGATATTGTCTCCATTAGGGTGCAGATCTTCTTAACACCTAAGTGATATCACAAAGCTTTGCTTGGCAATGTTTCCATGAATTTATCCACAAGGATATCCTCATGTTAAGCAGCTGCCATTGTAGGTTATGTCTTCCTCAATAGTACATGCAAATCATCTATATAAGTGGTCAGTTTTCTAAAAGACTTTCTCGAATTCGACCAGATGGATAACTTGGTTCTTCACCGCTATAAATGTTGTCACCGATTAACTATGACTGTGCTAAATTGCTCCTCACTGAGAATCAGCATTAACTGTTGTCCCCGAGTCCAGCCATTCTATGCATTGACCTGCTTGAAACATTAGTGGAAACAGTCCAAGTCTTTCTTAGCTATTGAACACTGGAGGAGATATCTGATTCACCTTACTCACAAAGATCTGTGGATGCAGATATATGATATCTCCAGTGGCACCTTAGCCAACACGAATCTGAGACATCCATGACGTAATGGTCTTGGATTATTGTTGATGTCGATGGGCTTCTATGTTTGGGAAATTGTTTATAATCTGCCCTGGGTGATAGAACAAAGACTTGCCAAGATAAACCTGTTTTAAAGCTCTGCATGGTTCTAGGTTTCTCTTTGCCTCCTCTTGCAAAGAAACCCTCTTCTTCCCCACGTGTCCTCTTCACCACTTATTGGTGAGATAGCTGCACTTGACAAACTTCATCCTCTAGCCTCCTATCAGTGATCATGGATGACAATAAACATGAATGGAATTTGGCTGTCCTTATTGCTGACAGTCTAGATGTTTTACAGAGACCTCTCCATTTAGTATCAGGACTACAAACCCTCAAGTCACAATATCAACTCTCAATCACTCATGCCTTTTTTGAGTCAAAGGTAAAATTCAAGGACAGAATTTTGTCATAAGCTATGGAGGCTGTCTGTTGAAGTCCCCATTCCTGCATTTGGGATTGTATATATGGCTTTCCCAAACACTAGCAAAAGAGATACATTCTAGATCTTCTCCTAGACGTTACTAGTCTGCCCATACGTTCTTCATCTAAAATATGATTTCCTACTAAAGTTCACAGCTCTGCCAGAAAAAAACAAACAACAACAACAAATACACACACACACACACACACACACACATAACACAGAAGGTATATTTGTTAAGAAAATCAGAAAATCGGGCAATACCAAATCCTGAGATTATGGCACAAAAAACTGCCCCTTAATTATATTACTCTGAGGTATTATCAGGTATGCTGATAACCTTCAGGTAAGAATGATAACTGATCAAATACTACTCTCTAGATGCTTAGAGAAGCAAAAGGGGTGGAAAATCTCAAGAGAATATGCTAAAGATATGATCTAGACTAAATTAGAGAGTTAACCACTATATATCTATATATTACAGAGGGTAAAATCTCCCAAAGTACACCCAGAAATTAAAATCTAGAAAACACAGCTTTTGAGTTTTACTAAACTTCCACACTAGAGAATATATTAGTATAATACTACATGTGCACTGGAGCAGGTCCGGCAGACTGGGCATAAGTAAAGGAACTTATCTTCTATTTCCTGCGAGGTTGCCAGCCTACATATGAAGGGTCAGCGACTGGAGGCGCAACCCCTGGGATTGACACCTGGATTGCAATTTGATTTAAATTTAATGACCTGAAAACCGTTTTTTTCTTCACGTTGTAAATATTCTAGAACTATTTTATGTTACGCAGTATCCTATTAGTCGAAAAAGAATTGGCCATTTGTAAAAAATAAAAGAAATCGTTTGTCGTACTACTTTTTTTTTCAATTTTACTATTATATGGGTTGGTAGCAAGCAAAAATTTTATTTTCACTTTAGTGGTTTGCTTTTTACAATTTGTGATTTACCCCTTATGGTGATATCTAAAAGAAAACAAAACTCAACACGCTTGCGTGGATATTCACTTACGTGGCAGTGGCACATGCGAGAAATTTCAGTAAGTAAACTAATGATATAAACTTTACTAATCACTTACTTAAAGAACTGTATAGTATACGGAACTTTGGTAAGTTTTTGGTTGAATTTCGAGGCTGAGGTATGTACATTAAGTATAGAAGATAACGGGACATAAAATTTTAAGCTTTGTAAACTTATATAAATTTTAAATATTTGTCAGTCAATGCCATTTGAAATAAATATTATTTCACAATATGGTACCGAATAGTACTACTAGTAGTATTGACTACTGAGTACTGTAGTTTAAGTTTAAATTTAATGCTTTAATTTATTTTTACAGTTCGTATGTTCTACTCTGTTCTAGTAAAAATTCTACTTAGTGTCACTGTATCTGTTGTATACTATCTGTAAACTATATCTAGGTTTTCCATTTATGCTCAATTTGCGGGTTCCTTCTCTTAGTATGTGTGTGTGTGTGTTTTTTTTTTTTCGTTAAAAACTTTAAACATCTAATTATCATCACAGACCATACCATCATCAGGTAAATCATTCCAATTTACACTACCTACACTTAGGTCTTAAGTAAACTGTAAAGTACGAACAAGCTTAGATCTAGGATTTCAAAGTATATATTTTTTACTATTTATTTATATTCTAATAATAATTCACAACTTCTTCAGTCCATAAATCAGAGTGGCTTCATGGTTCTAACGCTTATAGGTCACCTTCATATATTTTGAAAATGTGAATTATATCATCATATATATTTGTATTATGAAAATAAATGTCACTGTGTAACTTGTAAGCTAGTCTACATAGCTAAGATTCTTATTAGAAGTGCCAACAATCATCTTAAACTTAATTTTATTTTTAGTTAGATCCAGTTACCTAGTTAGTGCTACTCTTAACAGCCACGTACATAGTTTAAATTAAAACTCTAGACTGTTCTAATCAGTCAAATCTTCATCTTTCTCTCTTTACAATGCAACATGCTTCTCACACTTACAGATTTATATTTATCAATATTAAAAGATATTTTCTACACATGCTATCCTTAGTTCAATGTGTCAAGATCATTCTGAATCAAAATAGACATTTTCTCAGTGCAGTTTTCCTAGTAACTTAAAGTCACCAGTAAATACAGTTGATTTACAGCTGTATAATGTGACATAGTTAAATTGACTTGACCTTTAGGTTCATTGTTACAACAACCGTAAATGGATGAACAAAACAAATGACAGAGCTTCATCATCCAAATCTAAGTAACTTGTTTAGTTTCAGTTCAGGATAATGTCAGCAGAACAAACACAAGAGAAACAAAACAATTCTTTAACAGTTCAACAGAATTAATAAATACTTTGAATGTCCAACATTTTCAGTTCATTGTAAGTCATTTCTATTATCACTTCTATAATACAACTGTTTGCATTATTAACTTTGTTCTCAACCCATCATGGAGCTGATATTTTTACAAATTACCACATACAGTTGTTTCAGTTTGAACAATTTTTATCAACTTTAATTCTTACTAACAGCTCTTAATCAAACTAACTTCTTGACAATTTACTCACTTCTCTAAAAATTCTTTTTCTGATAATATTTTTCACAAGAATACATTGTTCTTTGCTAATGTCATAATCATCTTTTATACAGTTTATTAGGCTCTTTACAATTGACATAAGTTGGGCCTGTAAAGTTATTTATAGTTCATTGGTTTATACATAGAGTAAAAATTTATTAGTCAGGTTTTTGTTATGCTTCTCAAACCTTTTATAGTTATTACACACATGACAACAATGTTGAATGCCATTTCTAACAGTAATAGCACAGTATCACTTATAAACTCCAACCTAAATTCAGATTTTGCAAAAAGAAATGAGAACACCTGGCAATTGGCACCACCATTAGGCATTCTGTTACAGTGCACTCAAACACACAGCTGACACCTCATTCAAACTTCCCTACTCTAGCCTATTAGGTCTGGTAAGGTCATTTAAGAGTCAATCTTGGTTCATTACTTTAGTTTCGAGAAATAATGTTCATAATCTGAATTCAGCATTTATCACAACTTCAAGTTAAAATATCATTCTGACCACAGATATTAAACAGTTCCTACAACTTCAACACTCTCTGCTACAATGATAAAATAATCCTAAATATCCAAAAACTAAATACACATAAAACATTAAAAAATTACAACTCTTACAGTTCCTTTTATATAACCACTACTAATTCAAATAACACTAAGATAAATCAGTAACCCACTGGAGGGCCAGGGATCATATAAAAATTACAGTGTTAAGATTATACTATCCCAGGTAGTGACAATATATGTCGGTATAACTTTTTTAAATAATGAACTAAAATATCCCCAAAAATACGTCTGAGATATGCAGTTTTCATATTCATTGAATTTGAAAATAGGCTATTTATTAGCACAATTTGCTTTGTTCCATCAAGCCAATTATTAATGTACTTTTTTTAATATTTCTCTCTACTTGAAAGAACAAATACAGTATGCAGCAAAATTAACATAAAATACAAATTCCCAAGTTAAATTCCTTAAAATTAAATGACCAAAGGAAGAATTTAAATAATGTAGAATGAACTTGATAAAAAAAACAACAACAACAAAATCTGTTGGCTTACATCAAACTAGGAAAGCCACATTTCCCAGCTTTGTGCATCAACAAGTAAGTGTTTCTAAACTTCTGAATCTAATGAATACTTAATTATTCAATTTGACTTTTGTCTCTCTTATTTTGGTAGCTTACTTGGAGAAAAGAAGATGAACCCTCAATACTCCAGTGTGCAACCACCACAGATGTCTGATCAAAATGTACTGTGCTTGCAAACAGCTTCTGAAAATGTCTATAATGGTATAAACAGCCAACAAATAGCAGGTGAACCATTGCTTAAAAATTTATAAAATGATATGTAGATTTACAAGAATGTAAGATTTAGAATGTACAATAAGATGTTTACTCTATCAAGATCATCATCCAACCATCTGAACAACACACTTTTTACCTGTTCAAAACAAATAAATTTTCACCTTTATTAAATAAAATTAGCTAACTAAATGTTGAAAAATTCAAACCTTAATTCCAATACAAACACACAAGGGATTTAATTATGTTCTTCTTAGTGTTTTGCTATACAGTGTTCTTGTTCTTTTTTCATGAGAAAATTACATACAAATTTGATCAAATGAGCAAAATGTCAACTAATTAAAAGAAAAAAAAAGATATTCCTTAATTTAACTATTTCAGCTAAATATTTAATTTTGAATTTCAACTTGTATTATTAAGAGTCATCATAAAATACAAAATTTGAATTAGTATGAGTATCTGCTGTTTCATATTTTGGGCCTTATTATTGGAAATTCCAAAAATAGAACAAGCACATAGTTAACTGATCTTCACAATACTGTGAAACTATTATATTTGGAAGGACAGGTGTAGTAATTTGTTGAAGGTAAAATGAAAGGGGGAAGAGTTGGTTTGAAGACAGGCAAGGACAAACTCTGTATTATTGAAGAATACAGAAGAGTGTCATACGAGCTGGCTGATTTTTCACTAGAGGACTGTTGCAATGTAATATGTTAAAAGAAGTGGATAAATTTTAAACGTAAATGAAATAAAACTACTTGAAAAAAAAAGCCAACATATTTAATAAAAGAAAATTGAAATACTTTAGCATTTAAATATCTAAACATGTAACATTTCAGAGAGAAAACCCTTTCCAATTTGAAACATTAAAAAATAAAGCCTTTGAAGGTCATAAATGTATAAGATAAATTAAAGCCTTTAAGAATACAAAAATAATAAAAATAATCTACAATACAAAAATGCAAAATAAATAAATATTTTAAATGTGATTCAAAAGACTAGGATTTCACACTACATAAATATATTTATGAAATCCATTTATATACTTTACAAAAAATACATAAAATAAACTCTGGATTAAGCATATAGTTATATCCATGAAAAAATATAAATTGGAAGGTATGATAAGGAGGGAGACATATAAACAGGGAAACATGAAATGGGGACAATAGTAAATATACAATATCACATTGTAATTTATTCTAGTGGAAATTACAGTTAGCACATGATGTAATCATGGAAAACTTGAACACTAATGGTGTTCTTTCTGTGTCTTTACTGTATATGTGGTACAAATTTTTGCAGAAAATAAAACTCTTGCAGTGTTTTTTTTGTACTAACATCATAAGGTTTTCTTAATATGTCATGACAGAAAAGTTGATCAAAGTGTAACATGAACGGAAATTATACACTCGTTAGGATAGCGGAGTGAACTGAATATTCTTGAAGGGTAAAAGCTTTTCAGTAAAGTTCATTATAGAGAGCTGGTGAGATGTTTAATAAATATCCACTCTATTTATCATACACCCACTTTTTTCTGTTTAGATATAATTTGACCACAGAGGTCTAACTGCTGTAGACTTCATACCAAATGGAAAATAAATGAAAGTCTTAAAAACAAGCAACCAACAATTAGTTCTATTTACTATAATGAAATACTTTGGAAACTTGAATATTACTAGGATAAAAGTTTTAAGGTGAAATATGAACTGTTTGAATTAACAGTAACCTTTATGGTACATTAGAAAGGTAAAGTAATTGACATAAAAAGTTTAATGGAAAGCAATTTGGCACCCAAGAATGTCATACTGATTTCAATATATACTAAAACTAAAGGGATACTATGCATATCACATTTAAATTATGTGGGAGTGTCTAAATAAAAGGCTGTGTTTAATCATTTCAGCCATTCAAATTCAAATTGAGTACACTGTTATTTTATAATTAAAATACTTGAAAAAGAAATCAAATTGTGAGACTTGTTCTTAAAAAGTTAATTGCATTTACCTTTTCTCTGCAGGCACACCAAAATCAGAATATGGACTGCATCCTGCTAGTAAACAAACACCATTTCATAACTACAGTGTTCCAATATGTTATAGTCAGAATGGTCTTACACCACAAAGACAGCAACAACCTCTATGTTCAGATTTTCAACAACCAAAATTTACAACTGCTGTGCCTCCAGGAACACAGTTTCATCCTGCAACTGTTTCCAATAAGGTATAATTAAAAGTGTTTTGTGTTGAATTTGGTATATCTCTAGGCTGCCCAGCTATAGTTCCACTCCACCCTAAGGGCAAACATTGAATTACAAAATGTTTAGAAAATATATTTATACTAAGTCTTCAACATAGTCCTTCCCAGTGTCTCAGCAGTAAGTCTGAGGGCTAAGGTCACTAAAATCAGATTATGATACTTATGGTGGGACAACACAAGAGTAAGTTTTGTTGCTTTTTTCTTAACAACAAAAACAAACAAATCTTCCACGTGCAAACACAAACACTTCAGAGTTCTTTATTGTAATGTACCTGAACACCTTGAAAGTTAATTTCATGAAATTTACCATTTTGCAATGCCTTTGGTTTCCTGGTCTCAAAACCTGTTAGAGGAAATCTTACAGGCTGGTACGTGGACAAATACAATTTGTTACTATAATTTTATTTACATCACATTGCTTGGAGATTCTATGTTTTTGTTTATTAAAGCTAGGACTTTACTATTTCGTACCTACCCTTGTATTTATGCTTATCACATGCATAATTTCCAGTCTCACCTTCACCAAAAGTTTCTGTATTTATATGGATTCATCCTGTTGGGACTTTTTCATGTTATTTAAACCTCTTAATTTGTCCTAAACATAATTCTACCTTATGTGTTGGTTCTTCTTGAGTGTATGATGCCTTTTGAAAGTAAACAGAGGATACTATCTAGTAGCTGGTAGTACCTTAACATATACTTTCCCACCTCTGCATGTATGTCCTTATATGGCATTAAAGATATCTGAGGTAGGACACCTGTTCTCAATAGATGTCTCATAACTCCATCAAGGATGGGAAACGTTTACATTTTTATTTATTTGTTTTCTCATTTATTTTGTTGTCCCCATTGTGCTGTTCTCAAGTTGTTGAGTCCTATTCTTGGATCTTAATTCAGTTCTACCTGAGTGCCCACTGATTTATCTGGTTTTATTACTACCTGTCTTTTTTAGAATAGATGGAATAAGACTAAAGCTCCAGGAGTATGTCCTCTCATAAATTTTGACTAGGCTACTCCCCCCCAAGAACCTTCTACTACAAGAGTGAAACATAGTATTCCTCCTACCTACTTATGCCACCACCTGTGCTCTTATTTTTTGCTCCACAGGTATGCTTAATACTACCCTAAATGATCTTCTTATTTTTGTACAAATTAATGAGAGTTGAGGATAAAGAGGTACCCTGTAGAAAAGAATATCTTCTCTCTGAATGTCCTTAGATCCTGTCTTTATATAAGGCTGATCCACTCCATTGATTTTCTCTTGGATCCAATTCTTCAAATGTTTCTGATTTTGGATTCTACTTTGATTCTTGTTTTTATCTTTAGTGTGGTCTAGGTTATTACCGTTCAGCCTTATATTTTTAACATGTTTTTTGTATAATCTTAAGTCTTCCTGATTCCCGAATTATTTTCAATGTGGCTTTCAGTATTTCAGAGGTAAGTCTATCTGATTTAAATTTAGAATTTTTAGGAATAACAGGTACTTACCCCCTAAGAACTTTCCCGTTCACATCCTCTCAACAAGATGATAAGTGGGTTTCCTCTATGATGGCAACATAGAAATCTAAACTATGGTGGGAAAGTGGAACCTGTGTAAGAGTTCCTGACTAATGTGTAATAAGTCGCATGGAAGGTGAAAAATTATGGGTAAGTGATGTATGCACTACATTGCATCGATGACATTCAGAACTTAAGTCATATTGGAGGCTTTCATTATTTCAGAAGGAAATGTCTATTTGAAATTCATTATAATCTTAAAAATGTAAAAATTGTGAGCGTGTACTGAGTTCTTTGTTTCATTTTCTTCACATTTTGTGTCAGGTCTGTATCTGTCTGTCTGAATATTTAATTGGCATCTCTTATGTACTGTATTTCCTCCAATTAACTAGCCTAAAACTAAAAGTTTCACATATTTTTCTCTCACTCTGTTCTTTGAATTTTATAACCTAGATAGGTTTTTATGTCCTAGTTTTGAATTATATAGATCAATATTAAAATCAGTCATACCTTGGAATTTCTTTCCATTACAGTAAGCTCTGTTATTCTTGTGAATTTGTGGTATGCAAATACTACATATCTTATTTTCCCATAACGTATATTACTTATCTACAAAATTCTTAAGTTTTCTATGCTCTAATTTTGGAACATAGTGAATCAGGTGGAGATTGTGTATAAACTTCAGACTCAGATGTTACATTTTGTAGCTTTGATTCAAGGGATAGTTGCATTGTGTCTTGTGTATGAGAGATGCCTTTGAAACCTGCCACATGGAACAGAAATACTTTTGCATTTCAGAGGAACAGTTTTTTTTTATTGTAAATTTTGTTTCCTTTCAGGAGAGATTCATTCTGACCTTTGAGGAGAGCAGACTCCTTTCTATCCTGAGAGAACCAAGAACTGCTTGTGAAGTTTCATCTATCTTGATATTTTCTCTGTCTCTTTTGCTAATCATGTGATTCTATTGTAGTTAACCTGCAAATAAGAGTGTATTTCTTCTTTCACTTATAACACAATAGTCCATGCTAACCATCATCCAACATTTTATTTTCATCAGAAATTAAAGCATTAAATGCCATTCAAACTTCTTCATTGTCTTATCTCTTTCAATCAACTTGAAACAAATCACTTCACTTTTCTTTCCACATACTAAATTCATGAAGCTCTCATTTTTTGTAGAGATAAGGTAACTGTGTATAAATATACCCTTGAATTACCACAAATTGGATTCAGCAGATTCTACATATTTGTTAATGTCTTGCATTCCATCAGCTTCAGCATATTTTTGTCACCTTGCTATACTATTTAGTTGGGTGTTTGGTAACATGTTTCCTGTTATCTCCACTATTTTGCTGTTTCATGTATCATTGGAATTCACTTGCCTCTGTAATGGTTTTATGGTCTTCTTGGAGTGCCCAGTTACGATAGTTTTAATTCTTTTTTATGAATATACTACTATTTACTTCAAATTTTCCACTTGTATTCCACCCTTGTGTCTGGGCTTCAAGGCAGATTTTTTTAAATACCATCATATTAAGATATAACTTCTATAGCTGTTTCATATTCTGAGGAACTTTTTTCTTTGCCATTTTATGAGAATGATGCCTCATATTTTTTGTTTTAATTTGACAGACTTATTGTTTTGCTCTTGTTTGTTGTCTGTAAGATTCACATGGGCTGTGAGAACATGTATGAGCCTGGATGTGACCATAGTAACCAACCACAAGCTTTTATGGCTCTCAGGTTAATTAGGAAGCAATTCGGTTTTGTCTTCTATATTGAAGAATATTGCATTCTCTTCACTCTCACATTCAACCTCTCATTTAGTTTTAGCATTGTAGCATAATAAACATATTTAAATAAGATCATATATATGAATATGTCAACTTAAACTATATAAAATTTAAAATGTTACTTTTATGCACATACTTTCTTTTACCCCTTTCCATCCAATTTAGAGGCCTGAGTTGAAAATGAAGGTTGATGTCAGTGATATAAACAAGTGAAATCACATGTCAAGACAGTAATTTTGTATGAGTCTAGATATGATGTCACAAAATGGACTGAAGTTATGGGAGAAGGCTTAGTAGATTAAGTAGCAGAAAGATTTATATATATATATATATATATATATATATAGAGAGAGAGAGAGAGAGAGAAGAAAGAGTAGGTAGGGGTCGGGCGACGATATTTAATTTAATTATTACTTAACTAACTAAATTAACTTAAACCGTTTAAGTTTTTAACTTTA